AAATTATAGTGTATTTGGGCGTCTGCCATGACACTAACTGTGAGAAATGCGGCAAGCGGAGTGATACATGATACAAACGGTGAAGCGTTTGGAGGAGCCCAGTTATCACTCAAATATCGCACTCTTATCAGCCAATCAGATTCGAGGACCAGAAAGAACTGTTGTATAAATATTAGATATGAAATTAATAATTATGTTATAGGATATTGCAATAAATAAATGTAAATAAATTAATTAATAACATAAATAAATTAAATAAAATGTTAGCATTAATAAATGGGAGTGAATTTAATTTATTTAACATGAAAATCACATGAAATACACATTGAAATAAAAATAAATAAATAATTAAATACACCTTGAAATAAAATTAACAAATAAATATATCACAAGATAACAACAAAAAAAACATAATGAAATGTAGCAATCAATAATTATAAGCCAAATGAAAAATTGAAATGTAAAATGTGAAAAATGACCTGAAATATGATGTTATATACACCTTTAAATGAAGAACAGCATGAAATATGCCTTGAAATAACCTATAAAAGTCTCAAAGGTGAGGCCTAAAGACATGCTTTGTTTTAAATTTGTTTTCATTTCTGGAAATGTTTTGCTGGATAATGGTTTTGCATATATATATATATATAAATCGCAACGTCTCAAATCGCGATTTCGATTCGATTTCGATTAATCGCACAGCCCTATATCATATCATATTAAATTCTATTCTATTCTATTCAGGGTTCCCACTTTTTCATGAACACCAGATTCAAGGACTTTTTAAAGCACCATTTATTTTATATCAAGCACCTATCAAATTCACACCCCAGCATATGTAGTGTCATGAAAGACCTTACAGTACTTAACATTAGTCAAAATTGTAAGATATAAACTCAGAATTCAAAGAAAAAGAATTGCGAGATATAAATGATAAAAGTCATATATTAAAGTCAAAATTGTAAGATATAAACTCAGAATTCAAAGAAAAAGAATTACGAGATATAAACTCAGAATTCTAAGAAAAAAAGTCAAAATTGTAAGATATAAATCAAATTTATAACAAAAAAAAATTGTAAGTAAAAATGATGAGTTATAAGTCAAAAATTCTAAGTCAATTTGGACTTTTGAGTTTCTCACAATTTTGACCTTTTTTTAGAATTCTAAGAAGATTTATTCAAGGACTTTTTAAAGCACCATTTATTTTATATCAAGCACCTATCAAATTCACACCCCAGCATATGTAGTGTCATGAAAGACCTTACAGTACTTAACATTTCACTTACACTTATTAAAGATTTCAGAGTAATAATGTTTTGAATGTGTATGTTTGTCATGTTATAACATGTTGCAAATAGCCTATATTTAATTTGATTACATTAATATTATAAGTTGAGATTTACAAGAAATATTTTAACTGCTACTATGTAAAAGGAATACTGCTGTAAAAAAAAGCACCTTATTTGTTTAAAGTGTTTGCAAACCAAATGTTATTGCACTTTTGTTCATATAGCAATACTTTTAAATGAAAAAGTGCGCAATACACTACTTTTGAATGCATTATTGAATTTTGTGCATAACGATGCGATTAATCGCGAAAAAAAAAAAAAAATTTTTTAATCATTGCTCAGCACTAATAAATAGTTATGTCAAGTTAAAAATTAACAGTTTTAACCACTATTTGTCTGTGCTGTATTTCTGGAGCTGACAGGAGGTTTGATTGGCCGATATAAACACACACGTGTTGATTTTCTTCCTCCTGTGCATGTTTTGTGTGCTTGTCTGCGCACCTGTATGCGTCCTGCGATGCCGCTGAAGCTCGTCGCTCCTGGTGAAGCGTTTCCCGCAGAAGATCCAGTTGCAGACGAACGGCCTCTCTCCCGTGTGCCAGCGCAGGTGAGCCCTCAGGTGAGACGTTTTGCCATAAACCTTCCCGCAGCCCTCCATGTGACACACGTGCTGCTTCTTCTTTGACGGGTCACTGTTATTTCTGTCAGAATACAGAGAAATGACGCTAAATATTTAGCTTTAGCTGGTCAAAACTCTAACTCAATAAAGAGACTTTCAACATTTATAATATAAATCTATATCTATATATATCTATACTGTTTATCTTTATCTATCTATCTATCTGTCTATCTATATATCTATATATATAATTTTTTGTACAGTCTGATCTACTAAAAACACATTTTACATGTTCTGTGAGTGGTTCTTAACTATGCTGGACGCATGTTTCCTCTGAGATGTAACTCAGAATTCAAAGAAAAAAGTCAGAATTGCGAGATGTAAATTATTCTTGCAATTCTGAGTTTATATCTCACAATTCTTGCAATTCTGAGTTTTTCTCTCACAATTATGATCCTGCAATTTTGACTTTTTTTCCCTCATAATTTTAAGAAAATAAGTCAAAATTGTAAGATATAAACTCCGAATTCAAAGAAAAAGAATTTTTTCTTTGAATTCTGAGTTTATATCTTACAATTTTGACTTTTTCTTAGAATTTTGAGGATATATTTTGCAATTCAGCTACGGAATAGAAAAAGTAATTATGACTTTTTATCTCGCAAAACTGAAATTTCTCTCAGAATTGCATGATATAAATTTTAAGAAGAAAAGTCCAAATTGTGAGACATAATCTAACAACTGCTTGAAAAAAAAGTCAGAATTGTGAGATAAAATGCTGAAATTATTTTTTCCCATGGCGAAAACAAGCTTCCATACTGCTAAAAAACAGCATGAACAAGTCTTTTAATCCCCTGGTTTAATCTCTTTCAGTTCCTAACTTGAACACTCTGGCATTACACTCCTTTATTCCTGGCTGACGTACCTCCCCTCTCCGTCCCTGCAGTTGGGGCAGGAGCAGGCCACTCTGCGCAGCCTCTTGCCGGGCTGACCCTCCTGCTCCGACGGGCTCTGGACCTGCCCCATCTGCTCTGGACTCGTGCTGCTGATGTTGCCAACGGTCACCGTCACCGGGGCGGACTGAACTTTGACCCCCTCTTGACCCTGCTGCTGACCTGTGGGATTTCACAAACAGCACAGTTGATTAAATCACTCTTAAAACAGCCCTTATTTTCCATAAGAAAGCCTAGTCACCGGTGAATCCAGACATGCAAAGTCCAATAACAAAGAGTCTGAAATCTGACACCTTACCAAGCATTTGGAAACAACATTCAGACTCCGACTCATAAAATATAAATGCCTTAATTTGCCGTTTTACTTCATGAGTAATAAAGAGTCTATGGAAAAACACACAATTGCATTTCATGCTACTGTTCCACACTAGTTCACTAGTGTCTGAGAAAACTGTCATTTTCAAATTAAACATCTAAGAGTTTTAATCAAGAAACACAGCGGCCACATTTTACATTTTGGATATATGTGGTTACAAATACTGTGATAATTATTGCAGCATCTATTAATAACTTAAGCCAGATCAAACTTCTCTTCAAAAACAAAGGGGAAAAAATGATATTATAATTTTCCAGATTAAATGGTGCCTAATTTTAGAACCATTAAAATGTTATGCTCTAGAACATTATTTTCCTGACAATTAAGCACATTTCCAATACCCACATTTTGATTACTGTAACAAATAAATAAACAAATAACAGTGATATTTTAGTATCACTGAGATACTATTACAGTTTTTATTATTCAGCATTAATTTTTATTTTTAAATTTTCTGTTTTCATTTACATTTTCGCTACTTTTAGTAATTTTGAGTTTTTGTCCTTTTTATTAAGTTTTTTTTTAAATGTCTATATAATTTTTTATTTCTGTTTTAGTTATTTTAGTTAAGTTAAACTAAATGAAAGTACGATTTTTTGTTTTATTTTAATTTTAGCTCGTTTTAGTAATTTTGAGTTTTCGTCCTTTTTATTAGTTTTTTTTAAAAATATGTCTATATAACTTTTTATTAATTTTTATTTCTGTTTTAGTTAAGTTAAACTAAATGAAAGTAAGATTTTTTGTTTTATTTTAATTTTAGCTCGTTTTAGTAATTTTGAGTTTTTGTCCTTTTTATTCGTTTTTTTAAATATGTCTATTTTTTAAATTAATTTTTATTTCTGTTTTAGTTATTTTAGTTAAGTTAAACTAAATGAAAGTAAGATTTTTTGTTTTATTTTAATTTTAGCTCATTTTAGTAATTTTGAGTTTTTGTCCTATTTATTAGTTTTTTTTTTAAATGTCTATATACTTTTTATTAATTTTTATTTCTGTTTTAGTTATTTTAGTTAAGAAACTAAATGAAAGTAAGAAATGTTGCTCAAATAAAGTTGAATGTTTTTTTATATTTTATTTTATTTCAGTTAAAGTTTATTTCAATTACATAATTTTTCAAAATAAATAAATACATTGCATACCAGTCTTATTTTAGTATCGTTGAGATACTACTATAGTTTTTATTAATATTTTGAATTGGTTTTTATTTTTATACTTTCATACTTGCTGTTTTCATTTTCATTTTAGTTCGTTTTTGTAATTTTGTTTGTGTTTTTATTATTTGTATTATTTTAAATATGCCTATATAGATTTATTAATTTTATTTCAGTTTTGGTTTTAGTTATTTTAGTACATGAAATTATACTAAAATAAACTGATAAATGTTGCATTGGCAACTACCTGAAATACATTTTTTAAATATTTTATTTTATTTCAGTTAAAGCAAATTTTATTTCAAGTAACAAAGGTTTTTTATGGTTTTAGTTTTAACTATAATAAACCTGCCTCATAGTCACTACTGTAATGTAAAAAAAATATTTAAATATTTTTGTATTTATTATTTATTTTTAAAATTATTTTTATTAACCATTCAATTAATTACATTTTAAATTGTATAGTGTTTCTACATCGTGGTAGTATTTTCTGTACTGCTTTTTCTGTATATACACAGATGTAAATAAAAGGATCACTTTATTACAGAAAGTTTTAATGAACTTCTTTCATTCATCTAATGAGAATCACCATTAAGACTCAAAAATGTTAATAGTTTTATACACAGACTTCATTTTCTTGCACAAAATGATTTTGGGGTGAACATGAACATGTTTTTTCATGAGACTCACTAACTCAGTCCAAACGTTTAAATGAATTCAACTGAGAACTGTGCATTAATTCCAAATAAATCGCTAAATTATTCATGAAGATAACCGGCCTCTATAGACCTTTTTCACGTTTCCGGGTTTCTCAGCAGCGGAAGTCGTCATAGTTGGGTTAACTTCAAGAGCAGTGAACAAATAAATGCACAGCACAGCCATTTGCACTCTGCATCGAAAACATATATATGAACGCGCTGTTGCACCTCTGATAACTTTAGGTTTATTCTGCGGCGTTTTTATAAGCCTTTTGATGGGTTGTGTGTCACAGAGATGTAAAAACGGTTACACTCACTAAGTGATAGGGCTGGGTATCGATTCAGATGTCCCGATTCGATTCGATTTCGATTCGCAAGCTCTCAATTCGATTCGATTCTTGATTTTTTTTATTACATTCAGTGAATATAGTTTTAATACAAATGCTATTGATATTTCAAAAAAATTAACAGTAAACATCAGTTTACAAATAGTGAATTAATAAAAAGAAATTAAGAACCACATGCCTGTGTTTTAAACCTATTCTTTTTTTTTTGTATGTCATCCAGTGGTTTACATTAAGCATTTTAGAATGTCCCAAAACCGTGCCTTGATAAGCATAAGCATGCACTGAAGCATTTTTTCCCACCACCATGTCCCTTTAGGGGCTCCGTAATATAGTGCGACGGCAGAAGGTGAAAATACTGCGAGCGTCATCCACGCTTTAGTATGTGTGTAGTAAACGTTTCTCTCAGTTATTGTGCGCGATGTCCTCACAGTCTGAAGCGTCTGTCATAGCAAATCAACACATGCTGTTGTGAATAATTAAGCGAAGCGTCTTCTCATAGGATCAGAACACGCTGTCTCATGAATAATTTAATAGACACTGACGCGTCATCGATGTAATATAGTTCTTTGCCACGTCACAAATTGTGACGTCAACACGATGTAGATTTTAAACCCGGAAGATGAAATGGAGCAAAAAAGCTGCAGTCCGTAACTTTTGGCGCTCTAGCGGTTAATAAACAGAACTGTGTGCGTCTTGCGGAGTAGGGCTGGGACAATAAATCGATGCATCGCGAATCGAGAAATTATTCTGCATCGATTCTGCGATTTTCCGAAGGCATCGCGATTCTCTCTTGAATCGATTCTGAGCTTAGTTTTTAACAGCAGATGGCACTGCGTGCTTTAGAAACAGCCGAATTCTGCTTGCTTCCAGTTCCTTACACAGGCACCACTTGAACCTAAAATAATCATTCATAAAGTTCGAAAAGGTTGAAGCGAATTACAAGGATGTTCACAGTGGGCTGTGTTTACAATAATCTCGCCTCATAAAAGCATGAAAGCCGATGTGCAAGTACATTTAACCACTTACATTACTCAGCCGACCGCACAAGCGCTCTTCTTCGTGAGCATTTGAGTGTGCGGTTAAAAACTAGCCTAGAGCGCCATCTGCTGTTAAAAACTAAGCTCAGAATCGATTCCAGAGGGAATCACGATGCATTCCGAAAATCTTGATTGCATCGAATGCATCGATTTATTGTCCCAGCCCTAATCCGAAGGCCAGAGAAACTCCAAATACGCCCCGAAGAAGAAACCCAGGAAATCCCTATAGCGGTAGCTGAATAAACAGAAGATTTAAATGCTTTCATTGATTCAACGTGACTAACAAACACACAACTACGGCAATATATGGTTTATCTGAGTTCTTATCATTAAAATCTTCATTATAATAAAGTATGCAATGCTAATCGACATAGCCTTTATCGTTGCTCAGAATACTATGAAATCTGTTGCGTGCCTTATTCGGTGTAAGAAGCCACATCATCTCACAGAAGGAATTATTTCAAACACTCAGCTGACGTTATGAAGTAAAAACATGTTATTAAATGTGGTATTTTCACGTGCTTTCAGATGGAGCAGCATTTACAGAGCCATAGTTCACTGAGAAGCTACGCAAACAGCTTTCATTATCGCGAACGATTTCTTCGATTTCATAATCGTACGATTATATCGTCTGCGATTTTTTTGCGTAGCTTGTCAGTGAACTATGGCTGTGTGTAGTAAATGCTGCTCCATCTGAAAGCAGGTGATGGAGATTCACTACTGCAGTGTTTCCCATAGACTTGCACTCTGTTTGTGGAGGCACTATGAAATATGTTGCGTGCCTTATTCGGTGTAAGAAGCCACATCATCTCACAGAAGGAATTATTTCAAACACTCAGCTGACGTTATGCAAGGTGAAATGAAAATGACATCCAAAATTTTCTGAAGACAGTCTGTTTCCTTCAGAAATACAGTGATATTAAAACACCCGCACCAGGTTTCGATTTTGAAACGTGCAGTGCTCATGTTTATGCAACAAAGTCAAAGCCTTTTGGAAAATCTATTTGTGGCGGTCAGTTTTGATATTGTGCGCCACAAATAAATCAATGTATGGGAAACACTGTACTGTTTACAGAAATGACAATCACATTCGTTTAATCATGCAGCCCTATACTCTGCAGCGGTACCTACCCGAACCAGTCTAAAATAGTCAGAATATAAACACTTATTATAGGTGTACCATAGTGATTCAGGACAAGCCAAAGACACTGTTTGGAAAATTGATTCATGGTGTACTTGCTTATTATATAAATTTTGGAAATTTTGAACACAAAACAAATTACGGACTGCAGCAGTTTTCTCCAACAATTAAAATTAACGAATGCTAGCATGGCCTTTAATGATGTGCAACACAAACACCTCTGCTAAAATTTCTGAAAAAGTAGTCTGGGGTTTCATGACCCTTTAACACTGATTACGACGCGTGTCACTCTGTCTCTATACTGAGTTCAACAGGTGTCACATGACAGGTGGGAGGGGCTTACCTTGAATGCCGGTGATGGTGAGCGGAACGCCTTGCACCTGCACTCCAGCCGCCCCCAGCCCCGTGATGTTCACCGTCTGCACCCCGGTCCCAGAGGGCAGCTGGGCGGCGCTGAGCATGATGGGCGACCCGCCGAGGGTCAGTGGGGCCATCTGCGTGAACGTCCCCCCGCTCGAGCTGGACACCACGGGCGCAAGCGTCAGCTGCTGGGGTACGCCGGCGTTCTGCACCTGCACCGTCTGCCAGCTGATCTGACCCGACGGGGTGAGCGTGGGCGTCCGGATCAGAACCTGCGTGGGGTTCTGGAAGGCCTGCAGCTGGAGGTTCTGCTGCACCGGTTGCAAAGTCTGTATGGAGCCCTGGACTACTTGCTGTTGGGGCGACTGGATCTGGATCTGCTGGAGAACCGGATGCCCTACGATTTGGAACTGCTGGATTTGGCCGGACTGCTCGGATGCAGATTGGAGGCCGTTGGATTGGGTGAGATTCTGGGCGTCCGACTCGCCCGCTTGACTGTCTTTCTGGCTTTCAGCTCCGGTAGATAACGTCATAGCATCTGCTACCGCGTCGCTGGCCGTCGCGCACGTGGATTCCGCTGTGCTCACTTGGTTTCCATTTGAAATGCTTCCATCGCCTGATTGGACGAGTTGAACTGAAGCTCCGCCCCCTGTTGCTGCTGCAACGTTATTGATAACCGGCAACGCCAAAGTCATGCCGCCAAGGTTAATGGGTAGCGTCGTCACCATAGGCGCTTGCGTACCTTGAATAGTAGTAGTATATTTTTATTTAATGCCATGTCAGCATCTTAGGCTTTTTTCATGGAAAAAACATAAAAAAATATACAAGTATAAAGCCCCGTTCACACCAAGAATGATAACTATAAAGATAACTATAATAGGGATGTCACGAGAACCGATACCAAGTTGGTATAAACATTTTAAAATCCTGCCGATACTTGTTTGTTTTTTTTTAGTAGCGTAAGTACCGATGGTACATGGTGCTGGTATTCTAATTCTATTCTTAAAAATACAAAACAAAAAAACTTGACCCTTTTAGACTTGCACTCTATTAATTTACTAACTGCTTGATTTCTTTTTAAAAAACTAACACTAGCTTCTCTATTCTTTTTGTATTCTATCTATTTGTTTTCTTTTATTTATTATACAATTAACAAAAAGCAAAATAAGGCCTCTAACACTAGCTTGCTCTATTCTTTTTCTATTCTATCCGTTTTCTTTTTATTTATTACATAACAAAAATAAAAAAAAAACCTTGCTACATGTACTGCGTTAGGCTAACTGAGACTCTGATAGCTCTTGCGTATCATTGCTCTTTTGTTGATTTTGATTGCTTCCATTGTCCTCATTTGTAAGTCGCTTTGGATAAAAGCGTCTGCTAAATGACTAATGGCTCGTTTCCACCGAGCGGTACGGTTCAGTACAGTACGGTACGGTACGCAATTATGTCCGTTTCCATTGTCAGAAGTTGTGAATGGCACCAAAATAGCGAACAGTACCATACCACTTTTTTGGTACCCTTCCGTTGGGGTACCTAGCACAGCAAAGGGTACCAAAAGGGTGGAGCTAAACTCACTCCAGAAAATTGATTGGTTGACTAGAATTGTCCTTTTGCGTGATACAAGGGGATAAAGCTTCTCCTTCACTCCATGAGTGTTGGGCTTATTTACATCCGAGTGCGCAAACTAGGGTTGTAATATGAACTTTTCCACGACATTCTAATTTATTGAGATGCACCTGTACCGGTATGGCGGTTTATCACGGTTTGAATGTGCAAGGTTATCATACCGTAAACATTTGTATATCTACGGTTTTAAAAAAAATGAATGAAAAAAAAAAATCTCACCCGCGCATATGCAACTTATTTTCGCTTGGCCGCTTCACTCTGCATTTACTTGGCAGCTTACACGCACTTACAGTGGAGAAAATGACAGGGACAGAGATTATATCTAATCTCCATCCCCGCCGAAAAAAAGTTACAAATCCGCAGTATGGGCATACTTTGGATATAAATAAACGAACGCGGGGTTGTCTTTGAGGACGGATCCAATTTGCAAAAAATGTGGACGCAAAGTGGCTGCAAAAGCAGGCAATACATCCAACATGTTCGCTCATATTCGTGGACACCATCCCTCCGTGCAGATAAAAGTGTATCGCATTTATAACAAGTTATAAATTAAGGCCGTATGATTTCCGTGATGCAGAGGGAATCCCGGTGCAGTCGTGAACATGGAATTTACAGTATAACGAGGATGTCACTTAAAACGCGCAATCTGATGGATAAATCAAAAATAGATATATGTGTCTGTGAATAATAAAGCGCAAAGAGACTGCTATATAAATAATCTGCTTGTTTCTGCATGTCTCTGAGTGACGCCGTTTTATGTAAGTTAAGGTACGTTAAGTACACATGACGTTAATGGGGTTTTCAGTGTCTACATAAACATGAACATCAGCAGAGCTGCTCTGAGAGAAAAATTTAATAAACATGTCCTAGTTTTATTTGAGAAAAACCATTGTCAAATACACTCTGAAACTCAAGGTCCGCTACAACCCGTCAAAATACAAGTTTGATTTAACTTGAAATGATGACAAATATATTAGCATTGTACAATGTACTTCAAAGTTATAATACCAACAATAATAATATTCTTTATAATAATTAATTTATTTAAACATTATTTTTAAGGAATATCATGTTTGTCCATGTTTTAACTTAGTATAGCCTACCTCTGTTGTGCAGAACTTTGCCAAAAATAAAAGTTGTTAAATTTTCATTTGATAACATTTTAAAACATTAATTAAAATGTTAAAGTGTGATATAGATATACATAAGGTGTATAGCTTTATTTTTTAATTGTTTTTTAAAAATGTAATTGTTTTTTTTTTTCAGAAGGGAGACTTCAACTCTTTCATTAAAATGGTTTCAAGTTTGTTGTAATAAAGGATTTGTTCACTCAAATAACTTGTTCTTATTCTTTTAAGAGTCATTGTTACTGATAAGAATTATTGTTTAATATATACCGTGAAACCGTGATATTTTCTGAGACGATTATCATACCGTGAAAATCTCATACCGTTACAACCCTAGCGCAAACACAAAAAAAATATATGTAAATGTACCGAAGGTAGCGACTAGCGAGGCTGCAATTCTTCCGGAACTGATGGGGGCAGGCAGAGCATACGCCTGGAAGTGTTTCAGTCGGTCCTCAAAGGGTTAAGAAGAAGAAAAAAAGCGCCTAAAAGCACACAGAAGAACTACAAGTGGAAGACGGCGACGATATATGAATATGATTGTGTGAGATTTAAGCACAAGCTCTGCGCATGATCAGCGCACACAAAGTTACTGACTGTTTGACAGCTTGTTCAATCGTTGTGTATCCGTCCGCGGATTATCCTTATCAACATTATTGGCTAATATTACTGGTTTAAATAATTATTGTTTATGTTAATGGTTTTAAAATATATTTTCGGCCTGCCAGTATGTCAGTGAATTTAAACTAATGCTTGCATTAAGTATAGGGGTGTGTGTGTGCGCGTTATTTGAAGGCCAAGTGCCACTAATGTTGTGTTTTTATAATTTTAAATAAAAGAGTTAATGTTTAAGTATTATTGTAATATCGATTTGTTACTGAGTAGTGTTGGGGAAACTTACTTTTAAAAGTAATGCATTACAATATTGCGTTACTACATAAAAAAGTAACTAATTACGTTACTTAGTTACTTTTTATGGAAAGTAATGCGTTACGTTACTTTTGCGTTACTTTCTTTTTTTAAAACTAAATTTCAATACCGTGATAATACCGTATACCGTCATAAAAGCATGAGCAATTAATCGCAACATGAAAATTATACCGGCATATCCCTACTGTGGTGTGGACTCTGCTATACTTTAAAGGGATAGTTCACCCAAAAATGAAAATTCTGTCATTAATAACTCACCCTCATGTCGTTCCAAACCCGTAAGACCTTCGTTCATCTTCGGAACACAAATTAAGATATTTTTGATGAAATCCGAGAGCTCTCTGACGCTCCATAGACAGCAACGCAACTGAAATGTTCCCAGGCCCAGAAACATAGCAAGGACATCGGTAAACTAGTCCATGTGACATCAGGGGTTCGACAGTAATTTTACAAAGCTACAAGAATACATTTTGTGTGCAAAGAAAACAAAAATAACGACTTTATTCAACAATTCTTGGTGGCGTGCCGCTGCAGACGGGATGAAGAGGAGAAGAATTTCTGAATAAAGTCGTTATTTTTGTTTTCTCAAAGTATTTCTCATAGCTTCGCAAAATTACGGTTGAACCCCTGATGTCACAGACTAGTTTACAGATATCCTTGCTACATTTCTGGGCCTGGGAACATTTTAGTTGTTTAGTTGAGTCGGATTTCATCAAAAATATCTTCATTTGTGTTCTGAAGATGAACGAAGGTCTTACGGGTTTGGAACGACATGAGGGTGAGTAATTAATGACAGAATTTTCATTTTTGGGTGAACTAACCCTTTAATATTGAGAACGATTTTTAGAACTATATCTTTATCGTTATCTTTATAGTTATCATCCTTGGTGTGAACGGGCCTTTACAAATACAATAAAAACCAGCAAACAAACAAACACTAATTATATTACACAAGATTTTTTACACTGACATAATAAAAATTCTAAAACTTTTTCTGGCAAAATTGCGTACCTTGAATAGTTTGCAGCTGCAAAGGAAACGATGGCCTGATTTGAAACGGAATCGTCTGGTTTTGCGTGACGAAGCCGGTTGATCCCGCCCTTTGGGGCGTGGCCAGAATGGCTTGGTTGTTTCCAGTGGAAATGAGCTGGATCTGTTCGGGCTGGACGCTTAAGGTTGCGGGGTTACTAGGGCTTATTTGGATCTGCTGTCCGTCGGCGGTCTGAAGGTGCGGGATGACTTGATACTGAATCCCGCCCGACGAGTTCGGCAGATTCTGCACCTGGATGATTTGAAACTGCTGCTGCTGCTGTGAGCCAGGTGCGTTATTCGAACCCGCCGCCTTGACCTTTCGCCTCGCCGCGCTCTCGTTCTGCTGAACGCTGTCCTTGGTTGCAGCGGCAGGGGAAGTGGCTATGATCTGCCAGCCGTTTCCCGTCAGCTGCGCGGGAACCAGCTCGAGCTGCTGCGTTGGGTTCTGGAGCTGAAACAGACCCTGGTTGGGGTCGATTATTATCTGCTGTTGCGTGGCCGTCTGACCCTCGCCGCCAACACCGCCTATTTTACTGCACGTCGCCGCCAGCAATGCGAGAGGAGACGGCTGTGCATCCTACACACACACACACACACACACACACACACACACACAGAGTGATATGTCAGTGTCAGCAGATGTGGGCGGGCTCACAGGAAGAGTAAGCGGGCGTGTGAACCACAGTCTCTCCATTTCACGATCAAGGCCTCCAGAGACAAACTCTTCATGACAAAAAAACTCATTATGTTAAACTAACTCTTAAATATTACACACACACAAACATTTCAAGTACAGTGGGTTGCAGAAGTCTGAAATCACTAGTGATAAGGCTTCTGAAATGTTTCCTATTACAAATAATATTTATATAATTAATTTACATTATATAATCTACATTATTTATATTTCATTATTTATAATATTTATGTTTATATTTAAAAATGAAATATATTTGTGCCCCCAAAACAAGCCTTCCTGTCTCTTACATGCATTGCACAAGACCCAAAACTGATCAATGGGCACAAATAAACAGCAGATCCCAAATGAAAGTGGGGGGACAGGGATGGATAGATGGCACAGACGCACGCATGGAGAATGAAGGGGTGGAGACGCATAAGGAGGGGAGGGTACGTACCACTCATTCCGCATTAATGAAACCCGGAGAGGAGTTGTTTAAGAGAAAAAAGGCAGGCAGGCAGGCAGCAGCCCAGCAGAAGGACGGCCTATTTTCTCCAGCGGCCGCAGACTGTGGCGCAGCTCTGACGCACGGACCCACCCCGTCAGGAAGGGCGGTGCCAATGCAAAAACACCCTTCGATAACGGAGCACAAAATGCCAGGCGAGTCCGAGCGTCTCGCGTCGAACGGCGGCGGTCCCTTACGCGTTCAACGCGGGCCTATCTGCGCTGTTAGATCCGGAATTAAACAATATTCCTCCGCGGATATAAGCGCAAGTCTGTCAGAGAGCTCCGTCTGCGCGAAGGCCCACCCACTGCCATTTGAATATCTATGAATGCCAAACCGTCAGGCGCGGGGCCGCTCCGTTTTTCTCTCTCCCGGATGTTTTTGTGTGCGGAATTCACTCACGACATTTCCCGAATTTCCAATTGTTCACTTTTTTGATGCACAATTGCATTTGAGGCACTCTAAAATCGCTGTGGCTTTTGTGGGCGGATGCTCCCCTCCCACATATTCAGATTGGATGGTGGGCGTGGTGACGTTTGGGGCTTGTAGTTTCGAAGCGAGCGGCGCGCGTTCGATTCTAAGCGCCGCGGACTACAAGTCCCATGACGGCGGGAGTGACGTTGCGTAAGGGGGTGTTATCACGTTCGGTTGTTCGGACTGAAGAAGGGCGGGCTTTTGTGGTTTGTGGGGGTTGGGCGAATGGAAACGGGTGGAGAAACACGAACCAGCGGCCCAGTTCGGCGAAACACACGCTCAACCCACTCACAAACACACGCCCTTAAGTCTATCACGACTGTTAAACGAAATAAATAAACGCTTCGGAAAAATAACTGTACATGAACTGCTGAGGCGTCGCGTCTCGCGCAATGGCGACCGCGAAAAGTGTTTGGACACTTCAGTCACACTTAAAAATGTGAATCATTACATAACAATGTCAAACCATGTGGCATTTATTTTTAATAAATACTTTAAACGTAAAATTTTTTATCAAAATATTTAAGAAAAACAGGTTTGCTATTCAAATACATTATTTTCATTTCAAAACAAATGTGATTCTCTATACACACCTGTGTGCTCTATAGTGAAAAATCAATAGGCTATCATAGATGCTAACTCCTCACCTTTCAGTGACAACTCACCTTTTTGAGATCAAAATAGGTCCCCTATGAGATTTGCTTAGATTCAATAAGAAAGTGTTTTAATGAGGATGGTCTTACAAGGGTAGCCTAGGCCTACTTTAGGGTAAATAAAGAACTGGTTGTTTCAATAAGCTTTGTATAGTATTTTCTTTACTCTTTACTTCAAAAACTATGTCTAAAAGGGTAATATTTGATGTATTTGAGGTCTGAGATGTGGGAACGGTGAAGAGAGAGAGGGCAAACATATTGCATTTTAGGTCAGCATTGCTGTCCGATCAGCCAATATTGTCTTAAATAGCCTACATAGCACTTGCATCGCATTGACCAAATATATTCAATCTTGATTTTTGTCAAATGTTGCAACAAGATGTTAATTTTTTAAGAGTGCAGGGGGGTCTACTATGATAGTAGCGTTACTTTACTAGTTACTTGAAAAAAGTAATCTGATTACGTAACTCGCGTTACTTGTAATGCGTAACCCCCAGCACTGTAATTGCACTTTAAATGTGCGTAAGTAGTGCTGAAGTCCAACTAAAGATAAAATGAAGTAGGCTACATTTGATTGCGCTCAAGTGGAACTATTGCAAGTATACTTCAGGTGCACTTTAAATGACTTACATTTAAAGACTGATATTATTCAAAGATCATATACAGTCCTCATCAATAGTGACATTAAAACATATTTTAGGTTTAATATTAAGAAATGAGCATTGTGCACAAGTAGTACTCCAAATAAAGCTTAATTATAATTTTTATATCAGTAAGTCGAGCGATATGTCAGTAAATATGTTAACAGTATGGAATAAATGTATTTTAAATAAATTACTTTTTTACTGAACTTGTGGAAAACTGACTTCAAACATTTACTAAAAACAGCAAAACATCAGCTGATTCAAAGATATTGATCTTTGTTTCCTAATCTAGTTTTCTAATAAATATGGCATTCTGAATTAGTTTTTTAACTCTGTGAAATGCATGTTCCTCATTTGTAAGTTGCTTTGGATGAAAGCATCCGCTAATAGAATAAATGCAAGTTAATGAAAACTTAGTTGTGCAGTGTTTGAGCTTGCCTGACACTTATTTTGATGATACTTTGTTAATTTTATATTTATTTATATATTTTATATACTGTAATATGTGCAATACCTGACCCACCTCTTACAGTGCATTGCAGAGTCTTTATGGCCACGTTATCATCTTTATTTTCTATTATTTTTTCTACTAGGTCTAATAACCAGCACAAGCTCACAGTTTAGATCTTTGGTTTATTCTGTTAATTATATGTTTTTTTTATTATTTATATTATGTTATTTAAATTTACAAAATAAATACGTTTTTGAAACGGAAAATAGTTCATGCTTATATGTCTTCTGTCATATTTCTGCACTTTGCTTAACCATGATAAAACAGCTATAAAACATAATTTTGTTGCTTACCAGTTTATTTGAATTCATTTGGCCTGGCATAAATAACTCTACTTGTTGAATAAACCAACTGAATTAGTGTTAGTGTTTAACTGACCTAATGTTCAGAACAGAAATACTAATTTCTGTTCATTTGTGTGTGTGTGCACACCAGTGTTGGGCAGTAAGTTACTAGTAAGTTACAGTAATAATATTACTTTTTGCAGCAACTAGTATAGTGTAACTAATAACTGATAAGATTTCAGTAATAATATCCATAAAACAGATACTACTTACTTCGATGCCTCAACCCCTACTGATTTAAAGTCCAACAATCCAATAATTACTCGATTTATTTTCATAATTTTCACAACTTGCACAGGCACATGAAGTCACCAGTGCAGCAGACATATGGAATATGAAAAAGTTTACATTCAGCGGATGGAAATATTGACATGACATTGATTTTGTCAGGAGAAAAGATGATCTGAACACTGATTTCTGAGGAAACCTTTGTTAACAATGAGTCCCTCAGGGAAGTGTTTTAGGCCCTCTTTTGTTTCTTTTATACATAAATGACATGCAATCAGTTTGTGATTGTAATTTGTTTTTATATGCTGATGATTCTGCTTTATTCATTTCAGATAAGGTTGTTGGTAGGATACAAGTGAATTTATGAAAGGAGCTTTGTAAGGTAAGAGACTGTCTTTCTGAAAACAAACTGATGTTGCATTTAGGTAAAACGGAATCCATATTATTTGGGTCTAAAAAGAATTTGAATAAGGTTTCTAAGATGTCTGTTAAGGTGGGGGATTGTTTAATATCAAATAGAACTACCGTTAATTATCTTGGATGTGTACAATGATTTAAGTGGTGTAAGTATGGCTATGAAAGTTCTGGGTAAGGTTAATGCTACAACAATGTTAGTTTTCTTGATAAACAGAATATAAAATTACTTGCATCATGTTTAGTGTCATGTCATTTCGAATATGCATGCATTTCTTGGATGTCTGATTTGTCTCGTGGTTGGTTGGATAAGTTACAAAAATCTCAGAATAAATTGATAAGGTTAGTTTCAGGGCTTAGTCGTTTTAGTTGAGGTTTCCCATTTTAAATGTCTTGATTGGTTACCTATAGAAAGCAGACTACCACATTAAATTAAAAATGGTACATAAGATTATCAATAATATTTTAATGCACTTTTATCTCGGGTAAATGAGCAACATTGTTATAAAACTAGGCAAGGTCTTATGGATATTACATTATGTCATTTTAAAACTATGTATGGAGGTCTTTTAAATATTCTGGGACACTTTTGTGGAATACCTCTGGATATTAAAGGTATTTTGAATATGGTTTTATTTTAAAAGCTAAAAGTTCTCTCTTAAGTAGGTTGTTTTGTTGATGAATCTGTATTACGTACGTGGTTACTTGTGACTGTACATTTTTGTAAATGTGGAATTTTACTGTAATTCTTGTATTTATAATGCAGTGCCAGTGTACCTGTTACTGGGAGTAGAGTTTGTGCTTTACATCAAGGACCACAATGGAAACGTATTCACTCCTTTTTGTCTAATAAAAAGAAAGAAAGATGTGTAAGTTGTGGCACTACTTTACTCTGGCTTGCCCTCATCCCTCTGATCCTGATATAAATTGTATAAAATCTTTTTAGAGAACGAAACATTTTCTTATGAACTTAAATGATTTCTTTTGATAAAATACATCATGGAATATAATCATATATACGTAGGCTAACAGAGAAATTAGAGCTACAATTAGCTTCAAGCTACACATGACAATTAACGAGATTAATACAACACTTTGACTTAAACTTTACTAGTAATCACCACTGAGTGTTTGTAATAACTTCTGACTGCGATCCAATGTGGATTTTGTTCAAATGATGAGGCAGGAATATATTGTTAGTTACCTAAATACTTGCATTAGGAGTATTACTGTGTGTAATGTTTTGCAAATAGTGTGAAGCTGACAATGTGCTTACAGTTGTGCAAATCTAGCCTTGTGTTTTGCTCCTTGAGTGTAAGGTTTTGCTAATTGTTGGAAAAGTTTAATTTTAGTGTGTAAGCAATCGTAAAAAACTGTAAGCAGTGCAGATATTCATGAATGAAATGTTGAGGCAGGTGAGCACACAGACTGCATGCACAGGTATTTCAGTTCAACAACAATCCGCCGGTGTTGGTTTAATTACAGACGGAGTCTCAGAATGAAGCTGTGCAACTCAAGAAACTCTCCAGAACAACAAGAGTCACTTGAGAAATGACACTTATGATGAGATGCGATACATTGTGAAAAATACAATTAATCTGTTTCCATATGTTCAATAATATTATATGTACACACACACACACACACACACACACACACAATCACAATATTATATTATATTATAGAATATT